TTATACAAAATACATGTAAGATGTGAGAGAGAGAAAAAAAAAAAAGAATAGCACCACCTTAGATTGGGTAGAGAGAAGTGATGAAAGGGGAGGGGAGGGGATGGGGGGAAAGGAAGGATAATAGAATGAAATAGATATTACTATTACTGTGTGTATATACGTGACTGCATGACCAATGTGATTCTGTAACCTTACACTCAAAAAAATGAGAAATTATATCTCATCTGATTCAAATGTATGATAAGGTCATTGTACTGTCATGTGTAACTAATTAAAACAAAGAAAAAAWTTTTTTTTGTTTTTAGTTGTCAATAGATGTTTTTTTATTTATATGTGATGCTGAGAATTGAACCCTGGGCTTTACACATGCCAGGAAAGTGCTCTACCATTGAGCTATTACCCCAGTCTTTTTTAAAATATTTTTTTGTTGTTGTCGATGGATATTCATTCATTCATTCATTGTGCTGCTTAAACCTAGTGCCTCACATATGCCAGGCAGGCATCTTCCACTGAGCTACAACTCCAGCCCTAGCAATAACTTTAAATAAATAACTACTTCCATTCTTATTCACCAATCTAAGGCCATTTTTCCTTGTTTTGGAAGTCGTCTCCCCACCCCACACACACTTTGGGGGACGGAGAGTGCAGTGAGGCCCAAAAGTGCTTAGTTAATTCTCAATATTCCAAACTTTTAAAATTATGTACCTCTGTATTGGTTCTGTTTTAATGACTGTGCTARGCCTTTTCAGTAAAGGGCTCATTTTTGGAATGTTTTCCTATATAATTGGGACAACTTCTTCCTCCTTTTGTTTGTTTTCTTTCTGAAACTCCTATAGACAGTAGTTCTTAACCAAGTCCACCAGTTTTCTTTATCTTTTTGCTTCTTAAAATCACTACCACCATGTCTTTTTTGTTTTGTTTGGTACTGGATGTGCACTCTATTGCTGATCCACCTTCCCAGTCTTTTTCATTTATTTTGAGACAAGATCTCACTAAATTGCACACCTGGAACTTGAGAACCCCTGCCTCAGCCTCCTGAATTGAACTGATGGAATTATACAGGTGTGCATCACTGTACCTGGTTCTAGCACATCTTTTTTTGTACTACTTTCTGGGAAGTCTCCTTGACTTTTCCAAGTCCTTTATTAGCTTTTATTTTCATGATTGATTTCTTTCTTTCTTTTCTGGTACCAGGGATTTAACCTAGGGACGCTTAACCACTGAGCCACATTTTGAGCCCCTTTTTATGTTTTATCAGAGATAATCTTGCTGAGTTGCTCAGTGCCTTGCTAAGTTGCTGAGTTTGGYTTTTAACTCATGGTCCTCCTACCTCAACCTCCCAAGTCGCTGAGATTACAGGTGTGTACCACCACACGAGGCTTCCTGATTGTTTTCTAAGAGCTCTTTCTTGTTCTCTGAGTATTTTTTCTTTTCAAAGCATTCTGATTTTGTTCATGGATGTACTACCATAGTTTTTTTTTTTTCTTGCAGTATTGGGGATTGAATCTAGGGCCTTATGTATACTAGGTAAATGACCTACAACTCAGCTATACCCTCAGCCTTTTAAAAATTAAATTAATTGATTTTAGTACCAGGGATTGAACCCAGAGGTGCTTTACCACTGAGCTATATCCCTAACCATTTTTAGTTTTTACTTTTGGCGCTGGGGATTGAACTCAGGGGCACTTAACCACTGAGCCACATCCCCAGCCCTATTCTGTAATTTATTCAGAGACAGGAGTTGCTTAGTGCTTTGCTTTTGCTGTGTTAATTTTATTTTGATACAGGGCCTCACTAGATTGCCCAGTCTGACTTCAAACTTGTGATCCTTGTGTGACTCAGCCTTTGGACAGCTGGTATTGCAGTTTCGTGCCACTGTATCATGCTTAGACTTTCCTTTATTCCTTCCATTTTCTGTTTTTCTGAGTTACTTTTCCTAGTTATTCTTGTTTTTCATGTTGGAGACTTTGTTCAAATGTCTTAAATAGCATCCTTATAAATACTTTACAAATTTTAATGGTACTGTTTTAGTATTATGTCAAAGCTAGAATAGATGAAGCAATATTTGATCTTGGATTCTGAAAGAAGGGTAACAATATTTGACCACAAAATAAATCAGAGATCACAGATTTGGAATGTTCAGTATAGAAGTCATCAGGTACATCTGGCTATTTAAAAAAAAAATAAATAAGAAATCCAGCTTCCCAGTCACTCTAGCCACATCTTGAGTGTTCAAAAGTCACACATGGCTAGYGATTACCATATTGGGTACTAAAAATATGTAACATTTCCATTATTACAGAAAGTGCCATTGGAGGGGTTGGGGATATGGCTCAGTGGTACAGAGTTTGCCTAAGGTACACAAGGGGCTGTTTTAATCCCCTAGTACCACTGAAGAAAAAAAAAAAAAGTGCCATTGGATTCTATTGTCAGAGAGCACCTTTGGGGTGTTAGTACAGAAGATCTGACTTCCATTAAGGAAGATTCAGAAATTCTTTATTAAAATTCTTGAATATATAATTCAATCAACAGTTTAGACATATATCTACCATAAAACCATCTGAATACAACAAAAATAAAAGATCAAGAGTATGGCACATATAGTATATRTTAAATATAAAAAACTTTTTTTWAAAAAATATTTTTTAGTTTTAGGTGGACACAATATCTTTATTTTATTTTTATGTGGTGCTGAGGATTGAACCCAGTGCCTCACACTTGGTAGGCAAGTGCTCTACCACTGAGCCACAACTCCAGCCCCAAATATAAACAGCTTTTAAAGAGATAGATTCAAACAATTATCAACACTAGTTGACAATCTTGCAATATAGATCCCAGCATTTAAAAATTGCTTAGTAAATGTGTATTGAAATAAATTGGACTCAGTAACACCACTTGGGCAACTGATGAAGAAACACTCCTGTAACATGTTAATGAGCTGATTTCAGGATAAACACTGACCCAGTCTGGTCTGAATATAAGGAGAATTACTTACTGTAGTACAGACAGATAATCTATATAAAAAGCTCTGTTAAGTTGAACTGTCAATATATTAACCTAGGGCTGGGGATGTGGCTTAAGTGGTAGTGCGCTCGCCTGGCATGCGTGCGGCCCGGGTTCAATCCTCAGCACCACATACAAACAAAGATGTTGTGTTCGCTGAAAACTAAAAAATAAAAACATTAAAGGAAAAAAAAATATATTAACCTACCTTTGGTTCTATGTTTGACATCAGATTCAGCTTCAGTCTCCTCTTTTTCCTTTTCATTAGTAAAAATGACATCCAGTTCATGGCAGATGGAGCTACAAGTGACAAGTAACAGAATAAGATAATTTTAAGTTGGTTCCTGGTATTACCCAGCATATACTAGCACATGAATCCCATAAGATGTTCTGTGAAAAAAATATGTGGCTAGGCCAGGGTGAAGCTCAATGGTAGTACATTTACTTACCTAGCATGCACAAGGCCCTAGATTCAATTCCCAATACCACACACCCACCCACCCACCCCCATATACACACAGTGGCAATACACTTGTACACTTTTATACTAAAGACTGGGAAATCTTCTAGTAAAGAACCACCCCGCCCCTCGCCACCTGTCCTTTTTTTTTTTTTTTAGTGCTGGGGATCGAACCCATGCTATACATAAGCTAGGCAAGTGCTCTGCCAGTGGGCTACATTTCCAGCTCTAAAAAGATTTGAAATATGTTTAAGCACTTCCAGATTTATTTTTGGTGTTGGGGATTGAACCCTGGGCCCTACCAATGAGCTAAATCTCCAGGATTCCAAGACTTATTTGACCTTATGTTTTCCTTGCAAAATAGCTGGAAAAACTTATAATTGCTCTATTATACATCATCATTATATCTCAGAACCAAGTATCTCCATAACCAAATATACCATTTCCATTCGGCTACCTCTCTAAGTAKGGATCTAATATAACCACTTCAAATCCAGAACAGTGTTCACAAACAAATAAGGAATGATCAATGATTTGAAACATACCTTATGGTTGGAACAGTAAATGGATCAAACTGATCCACTTTCTGTAAATCAATAGGCACAGAAATTCGACCTAAAAGAACCAGAAATTATAAATGATTTAATGTTGGATACAAATCATGAGCTGTTCCTTTCTTTAAGAACACAAAATTTTATTTAGAAAAGCAGAGACATATTCAAAGGAGAATATGAGCCATCTCAAAAATGAGAAACTTTGCGGATAAAACAAGGAATACATATTCAAAGAGAATGCAGGCTGTATCTCCTGAAGGAGATAGCCTTTGAGTTATTTTTGGTTAAAATTTTACAAATTAGACTTATCTGTTAAGAACAATGTTTAGAAATATAAATTACTTTCACATTGGCTGTGCCTCTCATTTTTCTTAAWAAATGGTTAACAGGGGGTGCTGGGGATATAGCTCAGTTGGTAGAGTGCTTGCCTTGCATGCACAAGGCCCTGGGTTCAATCCCCAGGACTGCCCCCCTCCAAAGTTAACAATGGTGGCTGGGGTGTGGCTCAGAGGTAAAGTGCTTGCCTCCCATGTGTGAGGCACTGGGTTCCATCCTCAGCACCACATAAAAGTATATAAACAAAATAAAGACACTGTGTCCATGTACAACTACAAAATATATATATATATATATATATATATATATATATATATATTTTTTTTTTTAAATGGTTAACAATAGCTGGGTTCAGTAGCTCACATCCATAGCCCTGGAAACTCAAGAGGCTGAGGCAGAAGGCCAGCCCTAGCAACTTAGTGAGGCCCTGTCTCAAAAGTAGGGCCGGTTTCATGTATAACAAATTAGAATTGGAAAAAAAAAAAAAAAGAGGGCTGGGGATGTTACCTAGTGGTAAAGTGTCCCTGGGTTCAATCCCAGTACAAAAATAATGTAAAACAGGGGCTGGGGATATAGCTCAGATGGTAAAGTGCTTGCCCCAGGTTCAATCCCTAGCACCACAAGAAAACAAAACAAAAACAAACATAAAACAAAAACAAAACACCAAAACCCCACAAAAAACTGGTGAAGAATGTTCAGCTATTTTTAAGTTGTCCTTGTTTTTCCTTTTATTTCTATATTTAGATTTTCCTTTTTTTTTTTTTTTGGGCGGGGGTGGGGGGGGTGTTAACCAGGGATTAAACTCAGCGGCACTCAACCACTGAATCACACCCCCAGGTCTATTACAATTTTTTTTTTTTGTAGTTGTAGATGTACAGAATTACTTTATTTTATTTTTATGTGGTGCTAAGGATCTATCCCAGTATCTCAATGCATGCTAGGCAAGAACTCTGCCACCAGCTTCAGCCCTAGCCCCAATTTTGTATTTTATTAGAGATAGGGTCTCACTGAGTTGCTTAGAGCCTCGCCATTGCTGAGGCTGGCTTTGAACYTGCAATCTTCCTGTATCAATCAGCCTCTTAAGTCACTGTGATTACAGGTATATGCCATCATGTCTGGCTATATTTAGAAATGTTTAATGGCTGGGTATGGTGGCACATACCTGTTAATCCCAGCTACTTGAGAGGTTGTGGCAGGAGGATTGTTAAGTTTGAAGCCAGCCTTAGCAACTTAGTAAGATGTTATTCCAAAATAAAAAATAAAAAGGGCCTGGGCTAGGATTTTAGATTCTAGAGAGCCCCTGAGTTCAATCTTTAATACTCAGGAGAGGAGGAGGAGGGAATAAAATGATGAAAAATTCCATATTAAGTTCAGAACAATCTCAAATCTTGAGGGTCCATAAAATGGAAAATAGATGGAAATAGTGATTTGACTTTTCATTGAGATAAATAAAAATACACCTACATGTTAGACATCTTTAGAAAGCATTCTGGAAATAAAATAGTTAATTGTGCATGACATTCTGGTCAATCATGGGCTGTATATAAATTGGTGATCCTAGGAGATCCTATTGTCTGGTGCCATCACAGCTTAGTTATGTAAATATCCACTGTGATATTTGTACAAGAACAATTTCTTAGAAGGTATCCCTGTTGTTAAATGATGCTTAACCTTTGATAGCATTATCTTCTCTATTTTTTTTTGTAGGGGCGTATTGGGGGATTTAACCCAGGGGCAATTTACCACTAAGCCACATCTCTAGCCATCCCCCCCTTTTTGGGGCACCAGGGATTGAACTCAGGAGCACTTAATCACTGAGCCACATCCCCAGCCCTTTTTTGTATTTTATTTAGAGACAGGGTCTTACTGAGTTGCTGAGGCTGGCTTTGAACTCATGATTCTCCTGCCCCAGCCTCCTGAGCTGCTGGGATTGCAGGCATGCGCCTCCACATCCAGCCCTAGTCCTTTCAATTTTTAAATTTCGAGACAAGGTCTCCTAAATTGCTGAGGCTAGTCTTGAACTTGAAATCCTCCTGCCTAAGCTTCCTGAGTCACTGGGATTATAGGTGTGTGCCACTCATCTTACTCTTTTATGATAGCTACACCTGAGATACCACATACAATTCATCATATCTCAAAAATTATATAATGAATCTAAAGAATGTCAGATGAGTAACAAAAAAGGGAACTGGAAGTTGTTATTTGAAGATAGAGTAAAAGTGGCTACTTTAGTAAAAGTGGCTACTTGATATGAAAGGGGAAAGGATATAATAAAAATATATTGTGAGCTACTTGGGATCCTGAGATAGGAGGATTGCAAGTTCAAGGCCAATCTGGGCAAATTACTGATACCTATCTGGGTGTGTGGGGGTGGAGGGCAGTGGAGTGGAAGTTGCAGATTTAGCTCAGTGATGGAGCACTTGCTTAGCATGTGCCATGCCCAGGCACTGGGTTCAATTCCCAGTATTGAGTTAAAAGAGAAAAAGGAAAAAAAAAAAAAAAAGGTGTATGCTTATGAGTGAACATGATTAATTACCCATATGAGAATGTGGGGATACCCACTGAAGTTTAAAATGCATATTAAAATAATAATAATAAGCTTATTGCCAAAGAAGCTAAAAACACAGTTGACAGGTTTGAAGAAGGGGCCATATAAATGTATGAACTATATCAGTATATATTATTTTTTTTAACATTTATTTTTTAGTTGTTGTTAGACACAATACCTTTATTCTGTTTACTTATTTTTATGWGGTACTAAGGATCAAACCCAGGACCTTGCACATGCTAGGCAAGTGCTATACCGCTGAGCCACAATCCCAGCTCTCATTATATGTTCTTAAAGGAAACTAGGCAGTTTGAAAGAATTGAATGTGTGAATGTGTGCCAATCTTCTAAGCACTTTACATTTTAGATCTTCATGATAACCCATTGAGATAGATATTTTTAATCTCCATTTTATTTTATTTTAAGATAGGGTCTCACTGTGTTKCCTAGGCTAATCTTGAACTTCTAGGTTCAAAATTGCTCAAGTAGCTAAAACTACAGATATGTGCCACCAAACCAATCTTTAATATCAATCTGAAAGATGAGAACACCAAAACCTTACAGAAAGATTAATTTGCCTAAGGTCTCACAGCAAGTGGCAGAATTGGAYTGTTGACATTAAAGAGGACAACTATATCCTTCTCTATTAACAAGTCCCTTGGTTAGATGGAACCAAGTTTTATGCTAATATAATCACTTTTATATCAATTTAAAGTCAATTTCAGTCCATCAAATATTATATAAGAGAAATATGAAAGAATAAAGCTAAATCATAAACAAAAAAAATCACACCTGAAAAAATGCAGCATAGTGGATTAAGAGCTGAATTCTGCTGGGTGTGGTGGTGCACACCTGTAATCCCTGATGTGGGAGGCTGAGGCAGGAGAATGGCAAGTTTGAGACTAGCCTCTGCAACTTAGAGCCTATCTCAAAATTAAAAGTAAAAAGGGCTAGGGATATGGCTCTGTGGTAGAGTGTCCCTGGGTTCAATCCCAAGTAAGGCAAAATCAAAAACAAATAACCCCAACAAAAYTATTTTGTTCCCAGCACTGACAAAATTTGTTTTATGATTTTGGATAAGTCAGTTTAACCTACTGGGACTGAGTTTTCTCATCTACAACGAGAGCTGTTGTCCTCCAACACTAAACCTCAGAAACTCAACTGAAAAACATTAACACAGTAGAAATTCATCTGGTAGCTACTTTAACTGATAGTGTTAAAAAAAAAAAAGCTAGGTATGTAGCTTAGTGGTAGAGTACTTGCCTGGCATGAGCAAAGCTCTGGGTTTGACCCCTAATACACACCTGTGTGCATACACACAAAGTACAGAAGAAACTAGCTGATAGAATAATACTTCTACCTTTAATGTCACAGACATGTATTCATACCTAATGAYGTGCTTGCTAAAACAAAAATAACTTATTTTTCTTTTAATTTTCCTTACTTTCTTTATATTGTACCTGTTTTTGGATGAACGCTAAAAGGGCTCTTCAGTAAGTGATTAATTCCTTTGCTAACGTTGATATCCAGTCGTGGAAAACAGTACTGGAGCATAATCTCCCACTCTAGCCAGGGTCCACATTTGTCATTTTTGATATTCTAAAAGCAGATACAAGGCCAGCATGGGAATTAGTAGGAACTTCTGAGTATTTCTTTAAGGAAGATTAAAAAAAAAGTTATTGAATCATTTTTAACTGATGAGCAAAATAATGAGAACTTAATTAAGACTCTCATTATCATATCTGTAAATAGATTTGAATGGAATATACCTGATTTGTGCTGGCTACTCTCTTCAAATACTCCCATCTCTGAAGTGAACTGTGAGACTTTTGGAAGTTTTTTTGAAGATCTTCATGAATAGGTGACGATCATTAAAGAACACACTCATTTAGGGTACATCAGTGAACAACTTAAGTTTTTAGATGTATCATTACAAGAATATCCAAAGTTTGCACATATATAGAAATAGAAAGTAACTATTACTGTCTTCTTTTTAAAACACTTTTAGTTGCAGATGGACACAATACATTTATTTCATTTACTTAATTTTTATTTGGTGTTAGGGATCAAATGCAGGGCTTCACACATGCTAGACAAGTGTTCTGCCACTGAGCTACCATACCAGCCCTCTATTATGGTCTTCTAAAACATAATGTTAAACACTTACATTGAAAAAATTGTAGATACGGTTTGGGATATAGCTCAGTGCTAGAGTACTTGCCTAGCATGTGCAAAGTCCTGGGTTAAATCCCCATCCCTGTAAAAAACAACAAAAAGTAAAGATATAACAGAATGAACACTAATTATAAGGTGTAATGTAAAAGCTTGTCCTAGTTTGTACATATTTAGACAAAGTGATTCTGCATTCTTTAGCCATTAATTCTAGAACCACATTCCAAAATGAGGAAGGTGATTTACAAAATGACCCCATTTCTTATTATATTCCAGACTAAAGATACAAAAACATAGAAAAACAGGAGCTATTTGGGGTAAAAAAATAAATAAATAAAAATTAAAAAACCTTATAAATATATGAGGGTATGCAAGCAGAACACGTAATATCACAGATGTTATAACTGGCTCACATAAAAATGGTCTCAGGAAAGGATATCCTCAGGAACAAGGGCTAAAATCTTATCCCAGCTTTCTTTATTTTCAAGAATATCTTGATCAACCAAGGCATACTCTTCAAAGTATTTTTTTATTATGTTTATAGATTTCCTGTGGGAAGAAAAGTAACAACAAAGTTCCAATACTATTAACAACACATATAACACTATTGCCATTGGGTGGGAGGTTACTGCTTATTTTCYCTGAATTTCTAGAGCTTAACTAGGTTAAATGGTGCTAATACCTCTTTGCTGGTTTATGAGAATTAAAACAAGATACTTGAAGGCAAAAAAAACCTAGCATAGTACCTGGCACAGAATAGATATTTGAGAAATGCTTTCCACTTCTTCCTTTTTTATGGTATTGGGATTGAAACCAGTATGCATGTTAGGTGAGTACTTTACCACTGAACTATGTGCCCATTCCTTTTTATTTTGAGGCAGGGTATCCCCAACAACTTAGGAGGCTAAGGCAGGAGGATTTTAAGTTCAAGGCCAGCTTGGGAAAATTAGCAAGCCCTGTCTCAATATTAAGAATAAAAAGGGCTGTGAATGTAAGTCAGTGGTAGAGTGCCCCTGAGTTCTAGTCCCAGTTCTGGGGGGAGGGGGGGGTACAGGTGGGGAAGAAGAAAAAAGAAAAAAAATACCCAGCAGTGAAAACTGATAGCAAGATAATTTTAAAAGCACATGTAAGTAAATTAGATACACTTAAACTGCATGGGGTCTTTTCCAACAGACCTGACAAAAGGATGAATTTTTTCATTTAGGTGAACTTTCTTTCTGACATCTTGGCCACCCTGAAAAACAAACCATCAAGAAGAAATTTATATTGACACATGAAAAATTAATGTGTCCTATTATAAATTCAAAGAGATTGGCTAAATTTCTGTCAACAAATAGAAGCCTGCATGCTATTTTATATCATCTCAATATCTGTAGCTTTCTGAGTTAAATTTACTTGACAAATGAATAAAAGTAAATTAATCTTTTTTTGCCACAAAGGAGAATACTTACAGCAAAATAGGAAATATTGTAAAAAGGTAGCTGTTATGATTTTAAATGATCATTAGTAACATCTACTCTGGGATGTGAAGTCTATGAAAGATAGTTTAATTTGTTATTAAACATACCAGGCTTGGTAATGGCTAGTAAACAAGAAATGTAAATTACAGTTAAGAGGATCTTACCTTTACAAGACTCAAATACTCAACTATCCCAGAACGTACTGCAGAGGATAGCTTTCTAACTGATTCATCACAAACCCAACAATGAACACCTCTCCTTCCAGAATATACCCAGAGCCGATGTTTAAATCCAAAGTCCTCTGAAGAAGGGAAAAATAATAGGTTTTAAGACAAATCTATAAAACTTCTAGTTCTTGTGCACTTCTTTATATGTGTATGTGAACACACATATTAAGTTATAGGTGGACACAATACCTTTTTAAATTTTTATGTTGTGCTGAGGATCAAACTCAGCACCTCATGCATGCTAGGTGAGTAATCTAYCACTGAGCTACAACCCAGTCCCTCTTGTGCACTTCTTTTTTTTTAAACTATTTTTTAGTTGTCAATAAACCTTTATTTTATACATGTGGTGTTGAGAATCGAACCTAATGCCTCACACATGCTAGGTAGGCCAGTGCTCTACCACTGAGCCACAACCCCAGCCCCTCTTGTGCACCACTTCTTCTTTTTTTTCTTTTTGGTAYTGGGGATTGAACTCAGGGGCACTCAATCACCGAGCCACATCCCCAGCCCTATTCTGTATTTTAGAGATAGGGTCTCACTGATTGCTTAGTGCCTGACAGTTTCTTTCTTTCTTTTTAAAAATATTTTATTTATTCAGTTAGTTAGTTTTAGGTGGACACAATATGTTTACTTTATTTTTATGTGGTGTTGAGGATCRAACCCAGTGTCCCACGCATGCCAGGCGAGCAYGCTACCGCTTGAGCCACATCCCCAGCCCAGTGCCTGATAGTTTCTGAGGCTGGTTTTGAACTCGTGATCCTCTTGCCTCAGTTTCCCAAGCACTGGGATTATAGGTATACACCACTGTGCTTGGCTTGTGCACTTCTTTAAGCTTCATTTTTTTAAAACCTGTTTTCCACTCAAGTGCTTATTTAACCATATTAAATTACCTGTAGTTTCCTGTGCCCCCCATGTTCTTGCTTTTATGTCTGTACCCATCCTGATCTCTCTTCCAGGAATTTCTTTATGCCCCAGCACTTTTGTTTCTCCCTGACCAACTGCCATTTATCTTTAAATAAGCCTAGGAATATTAAGTGTTACTATATTTAAAGTATTTAGAATAGCACATGGTATACAATAAGCCCTCTATGTAAGAGTGATCATTATCATCATCACCTCTTCTGGGAAGATTTTTCTGACCCAATCTCTTCCTATTCTTTTTTTTTTTTTTGAGATAGGGTCTCACTGTGTTGCAYAGGCTAGTCTTAAATTCACAATCCTCCCACTTTAGCTTCCCAAGTAGCTGGGATTACAGGCACACATCATGGAGGTTGGCTTCTCTTCCCATTCCTGTATGTACTCCTGATGTTTTAGATCCTCATAGCTCCCTTTGCACGTTACTTAACACAAATATAATCCTCAATTTTCTTATATGTCTCCTTCTTGTATATATTGTAACCTATTTGAGGTTAAGAATTATTGTCTTTACATTTTTATCACCTAGAACAGCACCTAGCACAGAGTTGCTCACCAGAGGACTGAAATGGAAAACACACACACACACACACACACAATGGTTTGTTCAATAGCTGTGTAAAAGTTTCCACTACAGCTGGGATGGTGTTRTACCCTTGTAATTCCAGCTACTCTGGAAGCTGAGGCAGAAGACACAAGTTCAAGGCCAGCCTCAGCAACATAGTGACACCCTGTCTGAATATAGAAAATAAAAAGGGCTGGGGATGTAGCTGAGTTGTAGAGCATCCCTGGGTTCAATCTTCAGTACCTACTTCCACATATACAAAGTTTCCACTACAACTTTATCCCCCCTGCCACCCGCCTCATCCCCCTCCCAGTATTGAGGATTGAATCCAGGGTCACATGCATGCTAGACAACATTCTATCACTTAGCTACATCGCCATTTTGAGACACAGTTTGCTAAGCCCAGGTTGGCCTTGAATTTATTATTTCTTTGTCTCAGCCTCCTGAGTAGTTGGAATTGCAGGTGTATGCCACAGTGCCCAGGCGACTTCATTTATTTATTTATCTATCTATTTATATAAATTTATTTATTTTTTAATGTGGTACTGAGGATCAAACCCAGTGCCTCACCCATGCTAGGCAATTGCTCTATGACTGAGCCACACCCCCAACTTAATTTTTATCTTTTATTTTTTTTCCCTCATGTCTCAAGGAAACATATTAGAAATATATGAAATTTGATTACAGAATACAGAATTCAGAGGGAAACAAATTCTTGCATTTGACACCACTCAGATACTCCTGATACTTACCCTTTAATGCTCGGTCAATGATATGGATGGCCATTGTCATGAGGGTCCAGCACTTAGAACATATGTCTGCAGAACTAGAGCAAAGTCATCATTACTCAGTGTCAGTGATATCACTTACCCCAACAGCAAGGTCCATGGTACTTACCTACAGCATCTCCGCACATCATCATAGTCTGTCATGTCAATGTCAAACACCAGTTCTTTTTCCTGAGCCTGGAAAGCTCCCAGCTTCACTGTATTGTGTTGACTGGGCTACAAATATRAAATATTCATTCGTTTCTTTATGAGCTGCTATGTTGTTAAGTCTGCTATCTTTTTTTACTCATAAGGGAAATAAGGGCCAAAGAAAAACTAAGAAACCATATACTTACTACTGACTTAACACTCCTAGCCCTTTTTATTTTGAGACAGGGTCTTCCTAAATTGCCCAGGCTAGTCATGAGGATTACAAGTGTATACCACTATGTTTGGCTCAGTGCTTATATTTTTAAGGAAGGGATGAAGGGCAYCTTTGTTTTGTTCATTCATCCACCAAGTATTCATGTACTCTCTCTGCCAGGTACTATTCTGGATGTACTCAGGATATACCAGGTGAGAGAAGTGTCAGGTTGTAGTAAGCCTTGTTGAGAAGATACTACTTGAGCAAGACTTAAAAGAGGTGAGAGAATGAACCAAGTAGATCCTGGGGAAATGGATTCTAGGCAGGAGAAACAGCTTGAGCAAGGGCCAGTGTGGCAGGATTGGAACAATTGAGGAAGGGAAAAGAGCTTTTGGTGGGAATGAAGTGGGGAACCATCAGAGTAAGATTTTGAACAGAGGGACCACATAATCTGAGTTGTTTTAAAAGGATCACTCTGCTGTGTTGAGAATTGACTCCAGAATCTGCAAAGAGAAACTCAGCACAGTAATTCTGATGAGATGATGATGATGATAATGATGGTGACAATGACAGGATTGGTAATGCTGTCTGGATTTTAGCTATATATTATGGTAGAGCCAAAGGGATTTACTCCCATACTGGAAGCAGTATGGGAATGTGAGAGACAGGAATCAAGAAAAGTCTAATGCTGAGGGGCTGGGGATGTGGCTCAAGCGGTAGCCCGCTCGCCTGGCATGCGTGCGGCCCGGGTTCGATCCTCAGCACCACATACCAACAAAGATGTTGTGTCCGCTGAGAACTAAAAAATAAATATTAAAAATTCTCTCTCTCTCTCCTCTCTCACTCTCTCTTAAAAAAAAAACATTTAAAAAAAAAAAAAAGAAAAGTCTAATGCTGAAAGAGAATGTAATTCTCTTTTATTTTCCTCTCTTAAACCATGGTGACTTCCTCATTTAGCTGTTTAGCCAGATACTCAATTTTTTTTGTCCTAATGAGAATGCAGTTTATTTTCACTCTGTGGAGTGCCAAACAAAGAAAAAGATTACAATCCACTTGCAAAAACAGTTAAAAAGTGTGGATCTTCAAATACAATAAACTCTAATTTTAAAACTCTGGGGGCACCAACCCATCCTTGGTTTACAAAACAAAAGAACAATGTATATAAAAWTTTTTTTCTTACTCTGTGGGAATACACCGCGCCTATATCAATCTTGTATGGATTCATTTTCTGCATCTCCTTTTCCAGATCACTCTGGTTATTGAAGGATTGGTAACGAATATAAATGTCGTCTTTCAACGTAAATGAAAATTCACGGTGTTGAAAGTAATTCTTTACCACTGCAAAGTAAGTGTACACTTTAAAATTAATTCAGTACTTTGTTCAGCTCAGGGCTTTATGACACTAGCCAAAGGGAAGATTTTTTTTTTTCATTTTTAAAATTTTAATTTGTTGTATATGACAGCAGAATGCATTACGATTGGCAAGATATTTTTAATGAGGCCTCTGTGCACAGCACTGTTCAGATGTGACAGGGTCCCTAGTTTGAAGGGATTTACTATCCCACATTTGCTAGGGAACAGGAAAAATGTGCAGAAATATTTTAAACAGATAATGCCATCTCTCTCTCATATATGTGGGCACTAACAGATTCACATGTGAAGAAGATTCAACTTTCCACTCCCTTCCGCGAGAAGCTCCTTAGACCCTGAACTAGATCAAACCTCCTAGGTTCATGCTAAGACTTAATAATCAACCTCACCCTTAGCGCCTGGGCTTTTTTTTTTTTTTTTTTTTTTTTAACCGCATAGCTGCAGACTGGTCATTAGAGCCACCGTTAACCCTTCTGCACCTCAGAGGTGGTAGGGTGGGATGAAGATAAAGCATAAAGAGCTCGGCACTGTGCTGGCGCACAGGATGCACTTCATATACTCATTGTGAGGGCAGCCCACCCGGAATATCTCCGCGCTTGGATCCCGACCCCCTATCTACCCCGCTCCCAGCCTCCATCACCTCCGCCGTAGTTGAGCCAGCGATAGTACTGGGAGTAGGGAAAGAGCCTCCGGTAATAAAGCTTAAGCAGCTCGGGCAACTCGGCTGGGTCAAACGACTCCATCTCGCACGGAACTCGACCCAAACAGGAACGCCGCGGGAATTGGCGGGAACCGGCGGGAACCGCACAGCCGGAGGTTCCGCCATCGCGCAGGCGCGTTGAGGCAACCACAGGCAATTTGCCGCGGCMGCCGGAAATAGTAGTTCCTGCTGCTTGCAAGAGTAGGCTGGCTCCTCCCATCGGGGTAAAGTTGGGAGGTCTACCCGCTGTTCTTGCGTGCCGGAGACCAATGTCCATTCTAGGAAGAAGGTCTTTTCCGGAAAAGTGACACCTATAGCCTGTTGAGTTAGGTTAGTAAGATATATATTAAAAAAAAAAAAAAAAAAAAAAAAAAAAAAAAAAAAAAAAGGAAAGGAAAAGTCCCATGTGCAAACTATGAATGTGTTGTAGAAATAATACCAATATCTTTTAGAGTTTTGGAAATAAATTATTCATAGTATGACTAGGTTCAGTATGTAGAAATAAACCAAGACCAAC